CAATGTCTGGCTGCAGAGAGACCTCCCCCAGCCCGGGCCTCTGAAAGTGATGGCAGAACACCATGATTGTGCGGTGACAGGTTCCCTTTAAGATTGACTTTGGGGGCGTCTGTAGAATCCCATCAGTGTCAGCTGACTGTGGGGGAGGGGACATTAGAGTGTAAGCTCCTCTTGGTGGAGGGAGGGGAAGGGGAGGTCCTCAGTAATGTTGGAGGGAGGGGAAGGGGAGGTCCTCAGTAATGGTGGAGGGAGGGGAAGGGGAGGTCCTCAGTAATGGTGGAGGGAGGGGAAGGGGAGGTCCTCAGTAATGGTGGAGGGAGGGGAAGGGGAGGTCCTCAGTAATGGTGGAGGGAGGGGAAGGGGAGGTCCTCAGTAATGGTGGAGGAGGGGAAGGGGAGGTTCTCAGTAAGGTGGAGGGAGGGGAAGGGGGGTCCTCGGTCTGACGCGGGTCATTGGTTCTATTTTGGTCGGTTTATGGTCATGTGATCTCCGGAGTTCAGTGTTTCCAGACCACGAGCCGAGTTATTTCCGGAATAATCCCGATATGGGGAAACAATCCGCGTTCCTTCCGAGGAAAATCTCCCACAATGCATTTCTATTGGCGGCGCTCAGACCTGAGATAACCCGTACGTTGTGTTCTGGATCATTCTACCAACATTTCCCACTTCCTATGTCTGGATACCTGACCCGGGGGAATTTTCTGTCTTCCTGTACAGTGGTGACAACATTTGTTTTTGCTCTGATCATGTATTGCTCCTCCCTGTGTGTGATGTCACTTCCTGTACAGTGGTGACAACATTTGTTTTTGCTCTGATCATGTATTGCTCCTCCCTGTGTGTGATGTCACTTCCTGTACAGTGGTGACAACATTTGTTTTTGCTCTGATCATGTATTGCTCCTCCCTGTGTGTGATGTCACTTCCTGTTGTCTTGTTTCAGCATGGTGATGTGGATGCCGGTGGGATCCTTTCGCTGTCCCTGGAGGAGTTGGTCAGTCAGTTGAAGAGCGGATCGCTGTCCCCGGAGGCCGTGCTCCACGTCTATATAGAGAAGGTGACACCGTCTGGGGGGACGTTTACTACCAAAGAGCTGTAATCCAGAACAGCCAATTAGATCTCAGCGTTTATTGCTCAGTGCTGAATGCTGATTGGTCAAAGATCCGTCAGCTCAACCAACCATCACCCAGTGTCTGTCTGGCCTCCCTTTGTTCATGCTGGGAGAGGGACTGGGGTCATGTGTGGATGGGGGTGCTGGGGGTCATGTGTGGATGGGGGGCTGGGGGTCATGTGTGGATGGGGGTGCTGGGGAAAAACCGGTGATTGGAGGCATGACTCCGGGTTTTCTCTCTGCAGGGCCACAACAAGCACTGCGGGTTGGTCCACTTCCTGGGAACGCCGGATGCGGAGGACAGTGCGATCGTTCATGTGCTGAAGAAGCAGGGAGCCGTCCCATTCGTGAAAACCAACGTTCCCCAATCCCTCATCAAGTGCGTCATTCACCCAAATGTCCCGTACCACCGGGAACGTCTGACTGTGTGTGGTGAATGCCATGTGTGGTGAACGCCGTGTGTAGGGAACGCCGTGTGTGGTGAACGCCGTGTGTAGGGAACGCCGTGTGTAGGGAACGCCGTGTGTGGTGAACGCCGTGTATGGTGAACGCCGGGTGTGGTGAACGCCGTGTGTGGTGAACGCCGTGTGTAGGGAACGCCGTGTGTAGGGAACGCCGTGTGTGGTGAACGCTGACTCTGATTGTATTTCCAGCTTTGATTGCAGTAACTCCATCTACGGACAGACTCTGAATCCGCACAATCACCGGAAGACGTGCGGGGGTTCCAGCGGCGGGGAGGGCGCTCTGGTCGCAGGGGGCGGAGCCATCCTCGGAGTGGGCACTGATGTTCTGGGAAGTATCCGAGTGCCGTGCAGTTTCTGTGGCATCTGCGGCCTGAAACCCTCTGGAGACCGGCTGAGGTCTGTAGTCCTATGAGAGGGCCCCCCATCTCAGGGGTCCCCACAATGCTCAGTGTCCCCCCCATCTGAGGGGTCCCCACATTGCTCAGTGTTCCCCCATCTGAGGTGTCCCCACAATGCTCAGTGTCCCCCCCATCTGAGGGGTCCCCACATTGCTCAGTGTTCCCCCATCTGAGGTGTCCCCACAATGCTCAGTGTCCCCCCCATCTGAGGGGTCCCCACATTGCTCAGTGTTCCCCCATCTGAGGTGTCCCCACAATGCTCAGTGTCCCCCCCATCTGAGGGGTCCCCACATTGCTCAGTGTTCCCCCATCTGAGGTGTCCCCACAATGCTCAGTGTCCCCCCCATCTGAGGGGTCCCCACATTGCTCAGTGTTCCCCCATCTGAGGTGTCCCCACAATGCTCAGTGTCCCCCCCATCTGAGGGGTCCCCACATTGCTCAGTGTTCCCCCATCTGAGGTGTCCCCACAATGCTCAGTGTCCCCCCCATCTGAGGGGTCCCCACATTGCTCAGTGTTCCCCCATCTGAGGTGTCCCCACAATGCTCAGTGTCCCCCCCATCTGAGGGGTCCCCACATTGCTCAGTGTTCCCCCATCTGAGGTGTCCCCACAATGCTCAGTGTCCCCCCCATCTGAGGGGTCCCCACATTGCTCAGTGTTCCCCCATCTGAGGTGTCCCCACAATGCTCAGTGTCCCCCCCATCTGAGGGGTCCCCACATTGCTCAGTGTTCCCCCATCTGAGGTGTCCCCACAATGCTCAGTGTCCCCCCCATCTGAGGGGTCCCCACATTGCTCAGTGTTCCCCCATCTGAGGTGTCCCCACAATGCTCAGTGTCCCCCCCATCTGAGGGGTCCCCACATTGCTCAGTGTTCCCCCATCTGAGGTGTCCCCACAATGCTCAGTGTCCCCCCCATCTGAGGGGTCCCCACATTGCTCAGTGTTCCCCCATCTGAGGTGTCCCCACAATGCTCAGTGTCCCCCCCATCTGAGGGGTCCCCACATTGCTCAGTGTTCCCCCATCTGAGGTGTCCCCACAATGCTCAGTGTCCCCCCCATCTGAGGGGTCCCCACATTGCTCAGTGTTCCCCCATCTGAGGTGTCCCCACAATGCTCAGTGTCCCCCCCATCTGAGGGGTCCCCACATTGCTCAGTGTTCCCCCATCTGAGGTGTCCCCACAATGCTCAGTGTCCCCCCCATCTGAGGGGTCCCCACATTGCTCAGTGTTCCCCCATCTGAGGTGTCCCCACAATGCTCAGTGTCCCCCCCATCTGAGGGGTCCCCACATTGCTCAGTGTTCCCCCATCTGAGGTGTCCCCACAATGCTCAGTGTCCCCCCCATCTGAGGGGTCCCCACATTGCTCAGTGTTCCCCCATCTGAGGTGTCCCCACAATGCTCAGTGTCCCCCCCATCTGAGGGGTCCCCACATTGCTCAGTGTTCCCCCATCTGAGGTGTCCCCACAATGCTCAGTGTCCCCCCCATCTGAGGGGTCCCCACATTGCTCAGTGTTCCCCCATCTGAGGTGTCCCCACAATGCTCAGTGTCCCCCCCATCTGAGGGGTCCCCACATTGCTCAGTGTTCCCCCATCTGAGGTGTCCCCACAATGCTCAGTGTCCCCCCCATCTGAGGGGTCCCCACATTGCTCAGTGTTCCCCCATCTGAGGTGTCCCCACAATGCTCAGTGTCCCCCCCATCTGAGGGGTCCCCACATTGCTCAGTGTTCCCCCATCTGAGGTGTCCCCACAATGCTCAGTGTCCCCCCCATCTGAGGGGTCCCCACATTGCTCAGTGTTCCCCCATCTGAGGTGTCCCCACAATGCTCAGTGTCCCCCCCATCTGAGGGGTCCCCACATTGCTCAGTGTTCCCCCATCTGAGGTGTCCCCACAATGCTCAGTGTCCCCCCCATCTGAGGGGTCCCCACATTGCTCAGTGTTCCCCCATCTGAGGTGTCCCCACAATGCTCAGTGTCCCCCCCATCTGAGGGGTCCCCACATTGCTCAGTGTTCCCCCATCTGAGGTGTCCCCACAATGCTCAGTGTCCCCCCCATCTGAGGGGTCCCCACATTGCTCAGTGTTCCCCCATCTGAGGTGTCCCCACAATGCTCAGTGTCCCCCCCATCTGAGGGGTCCCCACATTGCTCAGTGTTCCCCCATCTGAGGTGTCCCCACAATGCTCAGTGTCCCCCATCTGAGGGGTCCCCACATTGCTCAGTGTTCCCCCATCTGAGGTGTCCCCACAATGCTCAGTGTCCCCCCCATCTGAGGGGTCCCCACAATGCTCAGTGTCCCCCCATCTGAGGGGTCCCCACAATGCTCAGTGTGTCCCCCCATCTGAGGGGTCCACACAATGCTCAGTGTCCCCCCATCTGAGGGGTCCCCACAATGCTCAGTGTCCCCCATCTGAGGGGTCCCCACAATGCTCAGTGTGTCCCCCCATCTGAGGGGTCCCCACAATGCTCAGTGTCCCCCCCCATCTGAGGGGTCCCCCCCCATTAGCAGTGTGGGCGGCATTCATAGTATCTCTGCGCTGAGTTTGGTTTCTGTGTTGCAGTGAGGACGGATTACTGTCTCCAGTCAGCGGGATGAGGTCAGGTCAGTCACTTCATTCAATGACACACATGACACGGTGCTATGCAGACACGGAACATTGGGTGCGTCAGACACGGAACATTGGGTACGTCAGACACGGAACATTGGGTGCGTCAGACACGGAACATTGGGTACGTCAGACACGGAACATTGGGTACGTCAGACACGGAACATTGGGTGTGTCAGACACGGAACATTGGGTGTGTCACGCTGTATGTTGTCTGATGAGATCTCACACGCATGTGTTTGGTTCCTCAGCTGTCAATATGCCGGGTCCCATGGCACGAGATGTGGATAGTCTGGCTCTGTTCATGAAAGCCGTTCTCTGCGATGACCTGTTCCAGCTGGACCCCACCATCCCCCCACTACCGTTCCGGGACGAGGTACCAACCATCATCCTCATCCATCACCACCATCATCCTCATCCATCACCATCATCTTCATCCATCATCATCACCCATCATCCTCATCCTCCTCATCTTCATCCATCCACCACCATCATCCTCATCCATCATCATCATCCTCATCCATCATCACCATCATCATCCTCATCATCACCATCATCTTCATCCATCACCACCATCATCCTCATCATCCACCATCATCCTCCTCCTCTTTATCCATCCACCATCATCCTCATCCTCATCCATCACCATCATCATCCATCACCACCACCATCATCATCACCCATCATCATCACCATCATCATCATCACCATCACCATCATCCTCATCATCCACCATCATCCTCATCCTCCTCCTCTTTATCCATCCACCATCATCCTCATCCTCATCCATCACCATCATCATCCATCACCACCACCATCATCGTCACCCATCATCATCACCATCACCATCATCACCATCATCCTCATCCATCATCATCATCATCATCACCACCACCACTATCATCCTCATCCATCATCACCACCATCATCATCATCATCACCATCATCCTCATCCATCACCACCCCCATCCTCATCACCCATCACCACCATCATCCATCATCATCCTCATCATCCACCATCATCCTCATCCTCCTCCTCTTTATCCATCCACCATCATCCACATCCATCACCACCACCATCATCATCATCACCATGTGACCTGGAACCTCAGTGGTGATTGTCACGCTTTGTACAGACTGCTGGGAGGTCTCGGCTCCTCCCTCTGGGGTCTCCTTTCCCCGGGAACGACCTCCACTGAGGCTCCACATTGCAGTTCTTGGTCTCATCCTGCTGCACGCCCACTCCTCTGGGGCCCCTCCCCTCTGATGTGTCTCCTCTGGGGCCCCTCCCCTCTGATGTGTCTCCTCTGGGGCCCCTCCCCCCTGATGTGTCTCCTCTGGGGCCCCTCCCCCCTGATGTGTCTCCTCTGGGGCCCCTCCCCTCTGCTGTGTCTCCTCTGTGGCCCCTCCCCTCTGATGTGTCTCCTCCCTCCAGGTATATAGAAGTTCGGAGCGTCTGGTGATCGGATTCTATGACACTGACGGATATTTCCTCCCCCATCCAAGTGAGAGGCGCGCAATCCAAGAAACCAAAACCCTCCTGGAGGAGGCCGGACACAAGGTGCGCCCCCCATAACATGTGCGCCCCCATAACATGTGCGCCCCCCATAACATGTGCGCCCCCCATAACTTCTCATACAAGTTCCATTCATCAGGTGAAGGGATGTTTAATCACATGACATCCAAAAATATGTGTCTCCTCTGGGGCCCCTCCCCTCTGATGTGTCTCCTCTGGGGCCCCTCCCCTCTAATGTGTCTCCTCTGGGGCCCCTCCCCTCTGATGTGTCTCCTCCGGGGCCCCTCCCCTCTAATGTGTCTCCTCTGGGGCCCCTCCCCTCTGATGTGTCTCCTCTGGGGCCCCTCCCCTCTGATGTGTCTCCTCTGGGGCCCCTCCCCTCTGATGTGTCTCCTCTGGGGCCCCTCCCCTCTGATGTGTCTCCTCTGGGGCCCCTCCCCTCTGATGTGTCTCCTCTGGGGCCCCTCCCCTCTGATGTGTCTCCTCTGG